CAGTCTCTACAGCTCAGTAATTAACTCTGCATTAAGATTGTGTATTCTCATTTTAAAAACAGAAATATCCTTCCATCCCTAAGGCAACAATTAAAAGTCATCATATCTTTTAGCAAAAGATTTCAAATTTTTTTTTAAGAGGTAATACTACTTGCTCTGTCAGTATCTCCATTTCTTAACAATTCCAACAGCTAGGGTACCACAGTTGCCCCCAACTCCAAACTTCAGGTAGGGGTTTTCGCAGGGTATCAAACCAGGAAGTTTTTAATTTTGATGTAGAAAGATAGTCCTGTTATAAATCATCAAAGTAAGTTTGCAAAAGAAAGGCAATGGTGCTGCCTGGCTCTCTGAGCTAATTTCATTTTCTTTAACTGCCTGCTCTGGCTGCCTACACTCTGTTCCCTCAACATTTAAGTGGAGAGAGGATCAAAGTTGTGGTGGGACCCAGTTCAGGAAACCACTTTGGCTTAAAGTCAAATAGTCCATGGGACTCAATGGTACTGCTGAATATTTTATGGAATGTTTTGGGGCTGTCTTTCTCCAAAATGAGACTGTATCATGACAATGTGATCAAAAGGTGCTCTAGCAAAGGAAGAGCTCAGCAAAAAGATAAGGGGAAATAGTAGCACAGCTGGGGTTCATCAGAATCCTTTCTAGCACCATGTCAAATTCAAGGGAGGCTAGAGTACTAGAAGAGGCATGTCCCTGGCAAGATCGGACGAGACACAGTACCATAAGACATTTTTGAAATGGCAAGGGGCAGAAGGTCCTGTGCTTAGAAGACTGTTTTCTGTTATGCAGCTGGGTGCAGTTTTCTTCCCCTACCTTGTCTTACTCACCAGTTCACCCATATATGTATATGTATATATACATATAATCCATTTCCCCACTTTGCTCCCTAACGTCAGGCTGACTCAAGAGTTAACAGAATACAGCTGCTTGTGAATAGTTTCAGTCTATCTGTTCGAGGACGGTTTTGCTCAAGATCAGTTCCCTGTCCTATGTCACCTCAGCAGCCGACTATTCCTATCCCTGTGCACAGGCTGCTCCTCCCAAGCTCTATCCCACACTGCAGTTTCCTTTTTCTCAGGCATTGCCAACCTCCGCTCTCACTCTGCTAAATGAATTCATTTCAGAAGCTAAATTTTCCTGTCCTCTGATTAAAAAAATGAAGAAAACAAAATAAATCTCCAAGGCCCAAATAAAAGAAAATAAAAATCCATTCTACCTTCCTTTCATCTATCTAACTTTGTAGCAACCTCATGCTTGAAGATACATCATCAGTTCTTACCCAAGCTTTTGTGTCTAACTTTAACCCTTTTTTCGTGGAAAACTTCCCAGAATGGCTGAGGTTGGAAGGGGCCTTGGGAGATCATAGAGTCCAACAACCCAGCAGAGTCAGCTTAAGCAAGTTGCTCATGGCCATGTCCAGTTTGATGGAGACTCCACAGCCTTATTGGAAAACCTGTTCCAGTGTTTGACCACGCTGCCTGTAATTTAAAAAATAGTTTTTTTAAAAAAATGGTGGAATTTCCTGTATTTAAATTTTTACATTGTTTCTAATCCTGTTGCTGGGCACCTGTGAGAAGAATCCGAGTGTCTTTAGCCTCCCCCTCAGGTATTTCTACAAGTTATGATTTGCCCCCTACCACACGCACAGGCCTTTTCTTCTTACTGTGAAGGTTTTTTTCTGTCTTGTTCTGGAATCCTTGTTCCTTGTGTAAAATCAGAGAAGATTGAAGTCTGAGCTCCAAGGTGTTCCTGTTCATCGTTACTCTTTTTCTGCTCTCTCCAACTAGTATTGGTAGCTACAAAAAAGTGAAAAATATTTAGGACTAAAAGGCTGTTTTCCTTTAAGTGACTTGTTTGTGCTATAGCAATTGACAATGTAATGGTTTAAGGAGAAAAGGAAAAAAAAAAAAAAACCAAAACCAAAACACAAAGCCAGTATTTTGAATGGTATCTTAGAAGAACGGTGTCCAGAATGCCACCCATCCATTGCTAACCAGTGCCTGTTACCTTAGTATCTGCTTAGGTGCATCCCAGTGAGTCCCTAAGATACAACTGCACCATTCTTTTTGTTTTATCATCTTGTATATTTATTTCACATTTTCCAGCTCTAAGGCTGCCTCTACCCTAATAATGTTTCCCTTCAGGGAGTGTCTGTCAGATATACTTTGTGGCTTGAGACGCTAGGCCAATGAAACAGCTGATTTGACCTTACAGATTCTTTGCCAGTTTGAAAACTAGCTTTTTTAAAATTCAGATTAACTTCTCTTTCCAGACAAGCTGCCCTTGTCATTGCTATTAGGTTATGGAATTCTAAATTAAGTTCTTGGATAAATAAAAAGAGGTAACTTGAGGGATGCAGCATTTGAGATCCCTTTTTTTCTTCACAAAGCACGTAGATACGTGTTTTTTAATGCCATCGCTCTTTGCAAGCATAACGTATTGCAGAATGTTATGGTAAAAGGTGCATTTTGAACTTCATATGCAGCAGCCATCATCTAACAGAGCAAAGAATGAAGGGCTCTGTAGCTTATGCACATTCTCTTCTGACTTCTGTCCTCCCTCCTTCACCATCCAAAAATATTTACAGGCAGGTGCACTCAAATTTCCATTATTTTTCTGTTGTCTTTCAGATAATTGCATTACAGAAAACATATTTGCTATGATGCTGAAAACCTCACTGGTCATCTGCAATGGGATCAGGAAAGAAATTTTCCTACTAGGAAAACTTTCGCAGGTGCCGCTTACACCTATGCTTCGTAGGTACTTTTCCACTGCAGTTTCTCTGTCCAGTGAGCATAGGAAAGGAAAGGGGATTCAAGAGGAATAGACAGAAATCACAGGTTACCTGAGGTTCTCATCTGCGTTCTGGGTCACAAACCCTGTCCTCTATGTTTCAGCCTCAGTCTGCAAGTCTGCATCAGCGCCCAGCAAGGTGTGGAGGTTAACAGCCCTGCGCTGGTACTGAAGCGGTAGCCAGCTGTTTGAACTCACCTCTGCCTCTGCTATTATTCATCTGTGTGCCCTGATCGGTATTTGATAGTGTAATTGTCTGAAGAGAGAGCAGCTGTGCAGTTCGAAAAGAAATAATTAAACCTGAAATGTTTACTTTGGTTCTCAAGTGAGAAATGTCCCAAAGGTACCTTATTTAAAATGGATGCTGTTGGGCATAATGCTGAAGGAAATGCAAAGACATGGAAGAATTTTCCACTTTGAAATTTAAAACTATGTATCTGGCCTTCTGCCATCTCGATATAAATCAAGATCTGACATTTGTCTAAAATAAGCCTCTAGATGTAGCGACATCTGCATATTTTCCCATGTATCTTTTATCTACTGATACCCTCTGCAACTTGACAAATAAGTTTTTATTGATTTTTACATTTCCAAAAGACTTAGCTTGAGAAAGTGAACAAGTATGTTCTGTTTTAGCATGGATTTTTCATCAGGCACTACAGGTTGGGAAATAGCAAATAGGTTAAGGGTTAGAAATAGGAGTTGTCGGTGGTAATGTAAATCCTGGAAGGTATCTGAAAAAGTCCACTTAGTTTAGTTGAAGTCAACTGTCCTCTGGATTCAAAGGTAGCAGATCAGGGGTAGGTTTACCTGACCTTGGTGGAACTCCATTCACTTTGGTAATCGTAGGCTTCGTATCAGGAATAAATGAGTCACATTGCTTCATAGAATCATAGAATGTTTTGGGTTGGAAGGGACCCCTAGAGGTCATCTAGTCCAACCCCCCTGCAGGAGCAGGGACACCGCTAACTAGATCAGGTTGCTCAGAGCCCCGTCCAACCTGGCCTTGAATGCTTCCAGGGATGGGGCCTCCACCACCTCTCTGGGCAACCTGTTCCAGTGCTTCACCACCCTCATTGTAAAGTATTTCTTCCTTAGATCTAGTCTAAACCTACCCTGGTTTAGTTTAAAATCATTGCTTTGAAACGAAAAAAGAGAATACTTTCCAGCTCTAAAATCTCTCCAGGCTGCAGACCTAATTGTGTTGGTGGTGTTGTTTTTTTTTTTGCTTCCTTCCCGTGTGCTTTGTACATACCCATGTAAAAAGGGGCAAAAAAATTGCTACCATTTCGAACCGGTACTTCTTACTCTTGCTCTTTACCTGTCCAACAGCAACCTGGACGTGCGGTCAGCGCCTTTCTAACTGAAGCGCACGTGCTCAACGCCTTTAGCTTTTTCGCAAATTGCTGTTTTCGGAAAGGTGCTCGAAGCTCCCGCCTAAGCTTGGGAAGCGGCCTTACGGCGCCCTC